CTAAGTACGTCATTTGCAAAACATAGCGTTTCTAACCTGATGTTACATATCAGAGCAAGACACCTCTAATAAATTGAGACTAAATAAAATACTTCAAAACTACCCTCAAAGCTCCTATGAACTACTCCTTATCACATGCGCGTTACCCACGTGGAGGTAACATTCAAACAGAAAGAGTGAGTAATCACAATTCAGTATAAAACATATAAGGAAAAGATTAGTAGTTATAGCAACATCATCTTATAATAACTCATACTATTCATCAATACTTCATACTTATATATATATATATATATATATATATATATATATATATATATATATATATATATATATATATATATATATATATATATATATATATATATATATATATATATATATATATATATATATATATATATATATATATATATATATATATATATATATATATATATATATATATATATATATATATATATATATATATATATATATCATAATATCAAATAAACATCAAAACCCGTCACATACTCACATAGTTTACAATTGTCATCACATCATAACTCATCAAAAAAATACATGCAATGTCACACAGGATGTTAATGCAACAACACTGACTCAAATGCATGTGATACTAATATTTATGAGTACTTGGTTCATTACCCTCCAAAGATCCCTGGCATAGGATCAATTCCCTCTTGGAACTAGAGCACATCAAAGCCGCACACAATCCACACAATAAGATTAAGGCTCGTCATAAGCGGACCATCGTCCAACAATGTCATGAATGCATGATGCACAACAACGTCATATAAAATTCGACCACGACTAGTCAAGTGCATCATCATTCACATAATCATCACATAATCATCTTCATAATACTTCATAGCAACATCATATTCATCATTAAATAAAACATCATAGCATAACAATATATAATAAACACATCTCATAAACACATATGTATTGAAATCATGCATCAAATAACTCATATAAATCAATATATTATAGTTCAGCATGTCAGCTTCCCAATGCTTCGAACGACACGTCAAACGGATTCATGAAACTCAAGTTATGGTCTCTGCAAGTTACTACTAGGGTTACTCGCCCGACGATGCTAGATGCGCTTTGTTCGCCTGGTGCTCTCCCGACGATGCTGGAGTGACAGATCCCCCCCCCCCCCCCCATGTTCATGGCCTCTTGTCTCGCCCGACGACACTTGGGCGCTCTCCTCGCCATAGGCTCGCCCGGCAGTGGTCGCGATTCTGTACTTCGTAGTTTACGATCTCGCCTCTGTCCAGATCCTCTAAACTCTGATTTTGATCATCATACTCAGTCCAAACGCATTACAAACATCATATAATTCATGTCAATATCAACCACATCATATACACACTACAAGGTCAATTTACTATGTCTCTATTCATCAATATCACTAATTTCATCATGCAATTCGCCATATTTGTCACCCAATTATCATACAAGCAAAACCCTACACCTATCTTAACCCCATATCGATCATAATAAATTATATTAAATCTCTTACCTTAATTATTCAGCGGTTTGATCTCCTTCAAGGTCTATGAAAAATCCCTCTCTGAGCCTCATCATCTGTTTTCCTTTTTCCTCTATTTCTCTCTATTTCATGATCGATGCAGAAGTATTCTCACTCTTCCCTAATTTTATTTTTATTTTTCCCCTTAGACCCTTTCTATGATCTTCCCATCATACCCTCATCAATTTCTCTTATTATTACCATCTTGCCCATAACACCTCTACACCCAGTTATCTCATTTATTTTATTATTAAGCTATATTAAATTATTATTTAAATAATTCTAATTCTCCCAACAACATAAACAACACAACATATCGTCACACATCATATAATATTCACAATAATTAATTAAATAATTAATTTTAAATTTGGGGTGTTACAATTGTCGCTCTGATAGTATAACACTGGGGATGTGATCGTTATATCTTTATTCTACTTATTGTTAAATTGTTATGAAACTAATATCTTATTCAATTTGAAGTTAATTCTATTTGAGACTATGAACTCTTGCTTAAAATGTTTTATAAATTCTACTACTATGTGTTTGAGTTGTGAAAATGTTTTATCCTGAGAATATGTAACACCTTATTGGTGAAAGTAAACTTTGATCATTTCATAAAATGTGTGTTGTGGAATTAGTGTGTTATAGAGGGGCCTTAATTTATGTGTGTATTGGAGGATGACATAGTAGTCTTCATCGTCTTTTATCACTTTTTGAGTTTATTTTAGTCCCCGGGTGTCACTCTGATAGTGTAATATTGGGAGGAGTTAAGTTTCTATTTTGTGTTTTTGAGGTGTTACTAAACTATTCATTTTATGAATGAGATTGAAGTTGATGTTTGTCCATGAAACCATTAAATTGAGAAGTATTATTATTAATTCCGCTGCTATAACATGCTATTTTTGAGAAAGTTGTTTTATGTTAAGAAAATGTGACACCCTTGTAAGAGTTTATTTTTTTATTTCTGCATGTTTTTTTGAAAATAAGTGTTTGAGGTTTAGGGTGTTACAATGAGCAGTTTAGAGGAATCAAAAATCACCTTGACATTGACAATGGCAATATTGTTTGGAAAAATATATAAGTTAGAGTCAAGGAACTGCCCAATCTTATCACCAATCTTCTCACCCTTTTGAGCATATGTGGTTTTTTGGGGAATTCCCCGAAGTTGAACCCAAACAAGAACTTTGAAATATTGATATTTTTGGGAAACATGGTCTTGAAACCATGGTTTGACATAAAGCCACGCGTTTCTAAATATCTATGAGTTTCCTCTAAGGATGCTCTTGATGTCCATATTGTTTTCCATTGCAACGCAGTAAAAAAATTATTCCAATTTTGAGATTTGGATCCCTTTTGGCTCACACTATATACTAGCAAGCCCGGTTGGGAGAGAATTCTTATACATAGGTTTGTCAGAGAAGAACTTTTTAATCAATGTTTTTTTATTGTCTTTGAATTCGTCTTTTACATCATCTTCATCCCCCACACAAAAGTCATCTTCTGCATCATCAACCGATTCATCTGTTGCTTTCTTGTTGTTGTTATTAGGGTCGACAAATCTGTGAGGACCCTGATTATGGTTTTTATTAAAACTCCAATCTCTCAATTGGTTTTGTAAAGGAACTTGAATAGTAGGCATATTAGTTTTCACACTAGATCTAAATGTTTTTTCCTTTTCTGCAAAAACTTGTATCTCCATGATCACTACCCCAAATTAGGATGAAATGCAAAGCAACATAGAAGACATAAAAGTAAGATCCTAAGAACTGTAGAATTAGAAAAGATGGGAAAACCAGTCTGCAAAAAGCAAAACTAGACAACAAAAGCACCAAGAGATAAATACACAAAAATACTCAACGAATGTAGATTGAAAAGCCATACACTTACACTTACAGACGTAGAAGGAGGAGGAGAGGAGGAAGATATAGAAATCCCCACTGATCAGAGAAGGTCAAAAGAATTGATTATATATATTTTTATACTAGTACAATTAGAAAGGATCCACAGGAAGCAATACAAAGTTTATTAAGGGTAGACGAACACCACACTTTGCCCAAAGTGTGTGTGTATGGGGGAAGGGGGGGATCGTCGCTCATTTATCACAACATACACCAATTATGTGTAACACTCGCCTATTGGTTGCATTACTCGCTCTATGTTGGACTTGGGTAAAAACCATATGTTGCTCGCTCGTGAAACGTGGGATAGACGTGTCCTTAAACACTTACAACATAAATTCTCAATTAAAGGAGAAAGCCTCCCAAATAATAGGGAGAATAAGGGTTCCACACTCTTTAGAGAGGCATAATAACTACCCAATACATTTGAGAATTCAAACACAATAAACGTTTATAAATTCCTCAACCATGAACTTAAAAATGACATTAAATTTATTTAAAAAATCACCTAGATAATGAATTTCTCACCACTCTTAATCTTGCTTGCTCTAACACTAACAACAAACCTTACATAATTATGGATTGTCACTCTCATTATACTTTTAACAAATATAATTTTAATTAAGAAAATAAAAAAAAATGAACAATTTCTTTATTTTTAGATGGATTCGGGTCAAGCTCACCCCACTCCGAGCCCATTTTATTTATTTAAGGCTTAATGTATCCTTTAATCCCTTAATTTAATTTCAGGTTTCACTTTCATCCCTTATTTAATAAATGTTTATTTTAAGTCCCTTAAATCATGTTCCGTTAGTCAAATCAGCCTTTTCCGTTAAATTTTGTCTAAATTTATTAAGTTGAACAAATGTGGCACTACAACTGATAATAACTTAACTGACTTGAAATTGTTTGTAATTAAATATTTTATTATAATCTATGAAGCAAACTTGTTGTCTCCTAAAAAACCATAGCCACGACATACCATTCTCTTCTCCCTCTCTTTGTTTCTCTCTTTCCTTTCTTTCTCTACATGAAAACCTCTTATTTTCACTGTCCCTCAAACTTATTTTTTAATACAAATGCTGAATCACACATGCATATTAATTCTTACTGCCACATCAACCAATTTAAAGTTTTCATAATCAAATTAACTTAAAGAACCAAATTAATTAACAAAAATATTTAAAAACTTATTAATAATGTTTATTACATAAGGAACTAAATTAAAATATAAAATTAAGTTATGAAAATTCTGAACTAACTAAACCTTTATTCAACCGAACTTTGGGGGTGAGAAATTGAAATTCACCCTCTTAAACGCAGCGTTTTCCTGTTTCACTCTCATTCGCTCTGTTCCAATTCGTCTCTGCTGGTTACCGCGCCAGGTTCGCAATTCGATTTTCCTTTCTTCCTTTCAACCATTTCGTGCAATAAAGATGAAATTCAACTTACGTTCTCTTTTTCCGCAGAATCACAATTTCTCAAAAAATCAAGTTTTTTCAACTATTCTCGAAGGCTTTGAAATTCAATTGTAATAGGTTTTGTGCTCAAACTTCATCATGGTAAGTTCCGCATTTTTTGTTCATTTTATCAAGTTATTACCGTTGTCACCGTGTCAGTGTCGTGTTTGGGGTGTCTTGGACTTCATAGTTATTTCCCATTGTTGAATTTAATTGGTTATGTTTTGTGTGGTTTGTTGTTATTTGCAGGAGGTGTTTAAAAGGGCCATAATACAGCCTGGTCCTCCTGAAAGTTTTGCTTTGCAGACTGTTCAAGAAGTAATAAAGCCTCAGGTATGTTTTGAAATTCTTTTGTGCTAGTTTGGATTAGCCTCTAGTTCGTTGTAGATTCCCTGTTAAAATCAGTCTATGATTCAATGCTTATTATTCTGATGATTTATTTGGGTTTTTCTTTGGGATGGCTGGATGGGCCTATATAAGGAAGAGGTTTCCATTTAATTTATAGTTAGGGAAAAGGCGAGAGATTCTTTTACAAAGGGTTTTGATTATAGGATATCTATAACTTAAATTCAATTTGGTTGTCTTTTGATTTAGATTGTTTATTCATGATTCCATGTTTTCGTAGTAGAGCCATGTCGTAGTGATTTGACAAAGTTTTACGTTGGCCGTCGACTGCCTAACACAACCCTCTCCCTTTATCCGGGTTTGTAGCTGACTATGCATAGCAAAGCTAACATCGGCAGTATTATGGCGGAAGTTGATCCATGTAGCCGATCCCACTTAGTGGGATAAGGCGTGTTTGTTGTTGTTGTATGATTCCATGTCCATGATGTTTGCATGGTCAATTTTTGAGTTATTGACATTAGCCCAAGGTTCCCTTTTGTAGTAACTTTGATTTGATATTGCTAGAGGTTGCGGTTATTTATTTATTTATTTATTTGTGATTTAACAGAAACAAACAAAATTGGCCCAAGATGAGAATCTGTTCCTAGAAAACATTCTACGGCTGTTACTTCAAGAATTCGTGGTATGTTAAACTGTTGCCTATATTCATACATTACTTTTTTTTTAATTATGTGCTAGTTGAATATATAATGCCTATCTGATTGGAATTTTACAGTTTGTTTATTTATTTTTGAAAAACCCAATGAAAATGTTCGTAAGTACCAATTGTATATTTTTTGTGTTTTTTCTTTGGTGTGTTTTTTATGCTTGATATTTAAAGAAACAAAGTTTATTTTGTTTTTGTGTCAAAGATTTGATCATGTGCCAGAGTCTTAGTTTCAAGGTAGACAGTTGCCATGGTTGTTAAAAGACAAGAGAGTTATTAGGATATGTGAGAGAGATTTAGAATTAACTATTGTACTCATACTAATTACTTAGAAGAATGGCATGGATGCATAATACTGACCTTATACATTTGTTTATGCTAATACAATGGTTATGGAATGATACATATTTGGGCGTGCATGGTTCCCCAAACCATAGAAACCAACCCACTCTTTGGTTCAAGTTTGATACTGAACTGGATTAGAACTGGTTCAAAACCGGTTTTTAATAAAATCCAGTTTTCACTTAAATTAACACTAGTTTCAGCTAGGTCTTGGTTTCTGATTCCAGCAGCAACTGATAGAGATTCAGTTGGAGTTGATCTGAATTTAGAACTTTGACACATCCTTTTAAGTATTTTCTTTTTACTTTTTTTTTTTGCACTCAAACGTAAGTATATAGTTTAATAAATGATAAAGTATGCGTGTTATCATGATGCTTAAATGGTTTGAATAAAGTGAACTTTAAACTACCTACGGGGGTTGAATCTAGTGGAAGGGGCTACACTCCCACAACACGGCGAACCAACATTCGAATCCTGTCTGGGAGAGCTGTGCATGTTTAAAGGCCGACAGGGCCTTGAATAGGATTACCTCCAGTGGAGGGAACCTATAGGAAAAAGTGCACTGTAAATTAAAAACAGTCTTTTAAGAAAAACCATTTAAAAATATAGACTTATGTAATGCCATTGCTGTTTCTGTTCCCCTCTTTGTTTTGTTGTTTTGTTGTTTATGTCTCTCTATGACCTGGATTATTTTTTTTCCACTTTGGTTCAGTCGGCAGCATTTCAGTGTGGGGAGAAAGTAATGCAATACGGGCAATCAATTGATGCCAATGAAACTGCCCAGGGCCACATTCCTCGCCTTCTTGGTTTGTGCACCATTTGGGAATGCTTTAATGAGATACAGTTAAATCTTAAAACATCTTAATTGTAAAGTCTTCTTGTGATTCTCTTATACTCATGTTTGTATGTGATTTTCACTTCTCAGATATAGTGCTATATCTGTGTGAGAAGGAACACATTGAAGGAGGAATGATTTTTCAGCTGTTGGAAGACTTAACAGAAATGTCTACAATGAAAAACTGCAAGGATATTTTTGGCTATATAGAGAGTAAACAAGATATATTGGGAAAGGTGCATTCCTCATTTGTTTGCAGCCCTTTGTGTTTCTCTAGTTAATGATTTATATCATAAGTATTGTCTGACTGACCTGTATTAATGTGGAACTTTTATGTTTACTTGACACACAGCAAGAACTTTTCGCTCGAGGAAAACTTGTGATGCTGAGAACCTGCAATCAACTCCTTCGCCGTCTTTCAAAGGTACGTTGAGAATGATTTATTTCCTGTTATATTTAAAGCTTTGAAGTTGATTACTTCCTCTAAACACAAATCTATTGTATTGCTGCTTCCTGTGACGAGGGTTTGTTTCAATTTTGAGCGCTCATTTCGTCTTTCCTATATTCCTCCCTCCAGCCCTTCTCTCTTTCTTTCCTCCCTTACCATCAAGGGTTGCACTATATGAGAACTTCTCGTCGGTTTTATAGTATTGAACGAGTATCATGTAGGATCCATCATTCTTTTCATTATTGTCATAATTCTGTGTTGGTTTGGATGTTATAGGCAAATGACGTGGTCTTTTGCGGAAGAATTCTCATGTTTCTGGCTCATTTCTTTCCATTATCCGAGCGATCTGGTACAATTCTGTGAAGTCTATCTTAACTTCTGGTTTAAATTTCATTTTCTCGAGCACCACACCACTTTGATGTTTTTGATAAACTTTCGCAGCCTTAAATATCAAGGGAGTTTTTAACACATCGAATGAAACAAAATACGAGAAAGAACCCATAGAAGGTACGTCCTTGCTGATTGTCTTAGTTTCCTTGGTTGCCATTCTTATAAACACAAGTACTCGATTGAAATTAATATTTTGATTCCAGCTAATACTTTATTTTCTACACTTTTCAGGCATATGCATTGATTTCAATTTTTATGAAACTTTTTGGGGCTTACAGGTAGGTCATCACTGAAACTTTAGTTCTTGATAGGGAGTTCTCTTCCATTTTCTCAAACTTGAGGATTGTCTTGCTATTTGACATGATTTTCAATATAAAATTTATCACGAATGGTTCTTATAAAAACTAGAACTATACCACTTCTACTACATGCTGCAGGCCAGTGTTTTTTCTCTTCAATAAAAGAACCTAAAACAAATATTATAATCGGTCTCTGTTTATTTGACGCAGGAATATTTTTCTAACCCTGCTTCTATTAATCATTCTCCAATAAGGTGGAAAAAATTCACCTCCAGTTTGTCGGTAATCTTTTATTTCATAGTTTTTTGTCTGCATGTATACATTTTTTTCTCAATTATCACATTGCTTCTGTTATTTTTGCTTTTTTACAAAAGAATTTTTGTTGGATAAAAGGTTGTACTGAATACATTTGAAGCACAACCTCTAAGTGATGAAGAAGGAGATGCTAATAATTTGGAAGAAGAGGCAGTTAACTTTAGTATCAAATATCTCACAAGCAGTAAACTAATGGGTCTAGAGGTGAGCTGTTTGACCAAAATCTTGATGCTTAATACTAAAAATGTGATCATATTTCCATCAAGATGTTCAAGTCCTGACTCAATATTCCCTCGTTTATTTCCTGTTTTCGGTTGAATTCCTAATAGTTGAAGGATCCAAGTTTTCGACGTCATGTTCTTCTGCAGTGTCTCATATTGTTCAATTATTTAAAGGTAATAGTAGTTTTCTGAAAAGTAATTTCTACGTGATGTATCGAGTATGTAATATTTATTACCTGTTTGTTTCTTGTTCATTTGCTTTTAGGCCCCTGGAAAAGGTGATAAGGATTTGCCATCTGAAAACATGGTTAGTACTACTGCATACTTTGAACTCTTTTAGGTAATGCGGCAAATTGACTGGTGGTTAATTTACAATTCTGGCTATGAAAACATTACATGTCTTTCTTAGCACCTAATATTTGCTAACTGCTATTGTTGGCTTACTCGAAATGATGTCTATTAGTTTTTTTTTGAAATACTTTAAAAAAATTTACTTTTGGAGTCTTAGATTGCCATATTTGTTTCCTAGCAAAGCATTCCCTAACAGGGGATGGGAGTCCATGATTCCCGCTTAAAACATTGCGTTCAACAAATAGCATCCCTTTAGCGTAGTGGAATTTTAACTAACCGCTATTGTTCTGCGATAAGTGAGTCAGTACCAAACTACAAAGTGTTGTCAAATATAGTTGCTATAGTAGCACTATAGCATTATAGTGTAACAGAATTTGAACAAATTGCCAGCCCCAAATACAATTCTCAATCAACAGGGGCAGAATTTAATGTGTTTTCCGCAATCTGCGATTGACAACACAGTTTGTTTGCCATAAAAAGCAGTATTTAGCTGCAGTAAGCTGCTATTAGTTTTTGTAATTTTCTTTTCTTACGATAGTATCCTCCATTTTGTTTGATATCAGGTTCTAGGTTCTACGTACAATGTCGGACATCTCCTTTGTTATTTTTGTCTTTACTTTCCCGTTATCTGAGAAAACATGAGTTGGTTATTACTTAAGGAAGAACCTTATTTTAGCTTTTTCTATAGTGATAGAAGTGCTGGTTTGATTAAAATTGCAATGTTACATGTAACCATTTAATGCACATTTCCTTTTGTAATTCAGAAAGATGAGATTACATCGTGTGAAGAACGTGTTAAAAAACTTATTGAACTGACTCCACCCAAAGGGAAAGAGTTCCTTCACAAAATTGAGCATATATTAGAACGAGAAAAGAATTGGGTGAGCACCCTCCAACACTTTCTCCCTATATTCTCTTGCTCATAAACATTTGATTGCCAATTATCATTAACATCAAAAATATATTTACCTTCTGAATAATCTCAATCTGAACTTTTTAGGTATGGTGGAAACGTGACGGCTGCCCACCATATGAGAAACAACCTGCGGAGAAGAAAGCGGTACCAGATGGTTCGAAGAAGCGGTATGCCTGTTGTTTAACAAATTGTTTATTGTGTAAATTGTAATTACTTTTGTTATAGGATTAGAAACTTTCATAATACCCAAGAAGATAAGAATAACAAATTCCTCCTTTCTTTAAGGTCTTTGTTTCTGAACTCATGTTTATTGATTGTAATGCTGTTGATTTGCATTGATGTTGCTCTAAATAGCCAATCACTTCTCAATTTAAATAGAAGTTATGAATTCATTCAAACTCATTTATGCTCACATGCAGTTGTATGAACAAACTGTAACCTCGTTTTTTTGTCCCTTTTGTGAAGCAAAAAATAAAAAACCAATCCATTATCTGAGCCAAAAGATTATCAAGACAAAGAAAATCACTTACAATAAAAGTTAAAAGCACACAGGATGCAACTAGGCAAAAACCATAGGCATATAAATGAGGTGTTGTATTTTATAGAACAAAATTAACATCTAGCCATAAAACATTGTGGATTTTTTATCTTTGACTCTTATGCTACTACTCACCATGCTCAAATTGTCTGGCTTATGATGTTCTGTCTCTTAATTTTCAGTAAGCCAAGATGGAGAATGGGCAACAAAGAACTGTCTCAGTTGTGGAAGTGGGCAGATCAAAATCCGGTATGTTTTTATCTTTAGAACTTGTGGCTAGTTCTAAATATGCAAGGTCTAGTTTTGTAGATTGAGTGGTACCAAAGTCAAAATTCTAATAATCTACTTAGTTGTTTTTTTCTTCGGTTAAATAGAGTGTCTTTTCTAAATTATCAATTTACATTTTTTTTTGGAATTTCCAGAATGCTTTAACTGATCCTCAGCGTGTTCAAACACCTTCAATTATGGACTACTGGAAACCCTTGGCTGAAGATGTGAGTTTTCTTTATTGAGAAGTACTGGAAATATTTTTTTCCCCTTTCCTACCTCCACCCCATTGTTTAACATTGCAGGCTTGGTTGTTATGAATTTTTTTCCCATTATCCAAGCTGTAGTTTTTTTCTTTCTTTTCATTTTACTTAAATATTTAAATTGTTTGTATTTATGAAATTACAGATGGATCCTTCTGCTGGAATAGAAGCTGAATATCATCACAAGAATAACCGGGTAAACCACTGCTTAAATTTATTTTGGGTGATAGAAGTATAACTTTTATTTGAGAAGTGAATGAAAGAACTAGGCTGACAATGGGATATCCTCGTAAACTTAAAATGAAAAAAAAGCAAACCAACATTCCGGAGATGAAAATTCTCTTGAAAAGGCCATGGGCCGAAAATGAGAAACTAAAAAAATAAGCCTTTCGCCAAACAAATTTAAGGAAAAGACACCTTAAAAAGTGAATATGTTAGGTTCCAACCTAATGCTCGAGGTTCCAACCTGTTGCATTGCTGACATTTAAGGAAGAGCGTTTATATTGCTGAATTTTTTGTAAAATACAATTGTAAAAATGGCAAAATACACTTTTCTCCTTAGAGATGTTTGAAGATAAATTGAATCTAAATATAATACGTATTACGTATTCATCTCTTGGGAGAGGGGTGTATAAACCTGTTTTTCCCTCAATCTGAAGGTTACCAATAAGCTGAGAACAAGCTAGATATCAAAACAGATATCTTATCCTATAGCTAGTCGAGACGGAAATCAAGTAAATGTAATAGAGATGATGATGTTGCGTTGGATATATGATAAAACTAGACATGATAAGATTAGAAATGACAATATTAGAGTGTTAGGGCAATACATGTAGTATAAAATATGGTGAAAAATAGGCTTAGGTTGTTTGAGCATGTAGAGAAGATCTGTAGATTCTGTTGTAAGAAGAGTAAATCAATTGGAGAGGAGTCAAACAACTAGAGGTAGAGGATGATCTAGAAAAATTATAAGAGAGACTATTAAGAAAAATCTTGAGATTAACGAATTGGATAAAAACATGATAGAACATTATGACATAATTCAATCCATGTAGCCTAATCCCACTTAGTTGGATAAAGCTAGGTGGTGGTTGTTGTTTAGCGAATCCAGAAGAGGAAAAAATTCATTGAAAACATTGCCATTTCGTTTTAACCGTTACGGTGATATATCTACTTACATAACACCTTGCAATAAAGTATTTCTTTGACATTTCAAAACCAATGTATTTAACCAAACGAAAACCGTATGCACTTTTTAGGTACCCTTTTATCGTCTAATAGTTGGCCTTCTATTTTAGATACATTTTTATATATCTATCTTCCTTTATGATTCAGGTTTATTGTTGGAAAGGTCTTCGGCTTTCTGCACGACAAGACTTGGAGGGATTTTCTAAGGTAAGTTTAACTTTTTAATCTACATCTTTTCTCTGCTTAAGTTTTCTGGACTAATTGAAGTTTTAAATGTACATATTGTTGCAGTTTACTGAATATGGAATTGAAGGGGTTGTACCACTAGAACTTTTGCCACAAGATGTCCGATCTAAATACCAAGCGAAACCAAATGACAGAAGTAAACGTAGTAAAAAGGAAGAGGCAAAAAACAATGCTCATCAAGTTGAGGAAAATCAGGTTTCTTGATTCAGATCCAACTTCCCATTTTCTTTTTTAATTACATCTTCTCGAGAGAGAAATAAATTCAATGTTAAATGGATTCCTTGAAACCACTTGTTGTCATTATTTTTATTGTGGAATAGATTGCTGCTACACCTGCAACTGAGATGGATGGTGAAAGCATTAGAACAGATACCACAGCAACACCTATGGAATTCGATGCTGTTCCTATCCCTGGTTCTCAAGGTGGAACCTCAACTTCCGACGAACTTCAAAAGAATAGCCCTGATACTGATAACGATCCAGAAGCGGGTCAATTGGAAGCAGATGCTGAAGTCGAAGCCGGAATTATAGATGAGAATGATGCAGATGCAGATGCTGATGCTGATGTTGATTTAGATGCAAGTGGCTGAGAGGATTTCACAGATCTACTAGCTAAGAATGAGGATCATTAGAATAGTGGATATTAACATCCTTTCTTTAAATGACAAAGATAGCTGCAACATTCTTCCGCGTTAGATCAAGTTAAAGGAATTTTTTTAGTTATATTTCAAATGACAGGAAGGAGATTATCTTTGAATTGTTGTACCATATCAGTTGAAAGTGATTCTCTCAATGAAAATTGACAATATGAATATTTGTACTTGTATGTGGAAAAATTGAAATGAAGTATTCTCAATTAGTTTTTTCATTTCATAATACTTCATCGGACTCATGAGTATTGACCTGTTTGTAAAAAAAATTGCTTAAAAAAAAACTGGTCTTTCAATTTTCAAAATAATGTTGATATATATTTTTTCAAGTGTACTATATTAATTAATACAATTAGTATCAGTCTCTATTATTTATTTTTTTAAATTTTAGATTTATGGTAATGATAAATAATCAATATTTCATAAGTATAATTTAATACTATTCTTTTTTATTTATATATTATTATTTTTTTAAAAATGTGTGAAATAGTTAAATAAGTGACATATTGTGGAAAGGAGAAGAAAATGCTATACATGCAATTAAGATTTGACACTGATTTGTTGTTTATCACTTAAATAATATAATGCGAATATAAACCTCAATTTGGATTTCACATAGGAGTGATAATTTGATAACTAACAGTAAATTTAAAATGTGGATGATCCAATCTTTAGGGAAAATATATAAATGTTTATGATGTTGAAGATCATTAGTTACCCTGGTTTGAGAGGTTATGCGTATAAGAAAAATATTAAAATACACTTTTTCATGACCACTTTCTCATTTCTCATGTACATTAGATAGCTGCTAAAGGCCACCACCACGTGACCCTATCACAAATACTACTTTAGATTACATTACATTTTTCATTTGACTTTAGATTCCACTATCTTTTCTATTGAAAATGGTCCTAGTTTAACAATAATATCCACAATAATTCCGTGCAAAAAATACGGACCTTTGCACTTTGTAGGAGTATTTTTTCGAATATGCATCTCCGAATACACCTTATTTTTTATAGAAAAAATAGTTTCAATTATACATATCTAAATTTTATTCTGTTATAAAATATAATTAAAAATCAAATAAAATAAAATTAAGTATCTATAAAAAAAATTTAGATTTTTTCAAAAATATGTAACTGGAAAATAAATTAAATAAAATAAAAAAATAAAAAATTTATGGTTTTTAAGGTGAAGTCCGCTATTTTATTCTAAAATAAAAGATTTTGATCCTAATTTTTTTTAAGATAAATTTATACAGTAAAATTTTAATTCAGAATCAATTTTTTTTAAAAATTAAACTTTTTACATTATATCATAAATATCAGAGACGCAGAAACTCAATATTACAAAATATAGACAAAAAAATTCTAAAGACTACTAAGCCTAAGCCTAAGGAGCTCCTTTCTTTTGGAGGGATTTTTTTTAGGTATTGTTTTGTTATACTAACACGATTTTCAATGTTTTTTTATTTTATTTTATTTTTTTTTATTTTTATAATTTATTTTTATTTTCGTTACTACATCTTAGCGTTGGTTTTTCACTTGTTCATCCTTTAGATTTCTGAGCCTTTCCACTTCTCCTCTACGTGTAAATAATATGACGTTTTTTAATAAAAATATAGTCAATGTCATTTTGGTTAGTTGTTGATATATTATTTCTCAAAATGAAATAACTAATAAAAAATGGGATTGTGCAAGTGGGAAGATCAATTGTGGGGTACAATATCATCTTCCTTAACTCATTTTCAGCGACTTTGCCCAACTTATTTACGAAAGTATCTACCATCATTATTCTCTTCTATATTAAAAAAAATCTACACATATTTATATATATGAATTAATTATCAACTATCTATCTATTAAAATAAAATTACCATAAAATTATTAATAATACTCTTCACTTTAAATTTTTTTATATTACTTATAAAATGTTAAAATAGTAAAATCTAACATCTCAATTAATTCACCATATTTCAATCAAATACTATTAAGTGTTAAATTTCTATTTGATATTTTTTCAATTTTCACTTTTTTTCTACTTTTCATTTGATTTTGACATTTGATAAGAACAGGCGAGTGGCCACTGACCAATAAAACGTCCGTCAACATGAGCAATCAACGATGGGGGGAGGTTGTATCTTTGTACCTACAGACACTCTGATGCTTAAGTCAGTTCAAGTGAAGAGGTAAGTAAAAAAAGTTAGAGAAGAGAATACATGACCCTCCAGCATAAGAGGGTATTTATAGTGAGCCCCAACGCTTGGCCAATGGTCTCCATTGTGGGCTGAGTGTTCAGGCCCACAACGAATGACTTCCAAGATTCCCACGTGAAACAGGGATGAGCAGCATGTGCTCATCGTCCTGGGTCGACTGTTATGCAGTCCACGGGTAATAGATAAACTTTCCCATTACGAAGGGCAGAACAGTACCTCCGCTCGTGCAGAATGTGCAAATTCAGTTGGTGACGTGTCCTCGGGGGATGAGCATGTGGGAAATGTGTTCTCCATTGGCCTCAACGGATTAGGCCAACACTTTTGAACCGTCCTCGACGTAGAACTAGATTGGGTCATGCTTGATAATGGGCCAGCCACAAGCCCAGTCCAGAACAGGAGCCCCCCAAGTCATTGTTCCTAGGCATAGGAGCAATGACTTAGAGTCAGATTGCGTGTCGAGGAGGAGCGAGGACTCTACGCAAAGCAAGCCTTCATTTGGGCTCGCGGTTGTGAGCTCACGTCGGTGCCGACGATGCTCGCCATGGGCGTTTCTTGTTCATGAGTTTGAATACACTAGGACGATATTTTGCTCGTAACTCGTTGGAGTTTGCTTACGTGGAAAAACACGTCACACAATGATTGTGGTTGAGAGTTTAGCTTGTGCTAGCGTTTAACGTTTGACTTTGCTTGCGAGTTTTCACGTTGTTCATAGATTTGCTTCAAGTTTTCTCCGAGGCCATGTGTTGTACCCCAAAATTTGCTTTCTCATTTTTTAAGGCATTTCTCACAAGGATTCTCAAGGTTCAAGCTTGCACAAGTACAATTGGATTTTCCAGTACCAAGTTGAAAAAGAAACTTTCAAAAAATGAGGAAAACAGATAAAAATAATCTTTTGAAAAAATTGGAGAAAAGCAAGTCCTTTCGATTCAGCTCCTTCGATTGGCCTTTTGGCCTCTTTCGATGCAGGCTTTGGTTACACCCTTCGACTGGACGTTGACCTCTGGCACGCTGGATTTGATTTACAAGGCAAGAGTTTCCTACGTACCACCTTCGATTGCATCTCTGGCCTCACTGGGTTCATAATGCCATGACTGCCTATATGTCTGTTTCGTTTGGATGTTTGATGCTTGCATGCCTATACAAACTTTCCCTCCATGCTTGCCTTGACTCACAAAGTAATGACTAGTCACATACAAGCTTTCGTTTGAGCCATAACTTCTTTCTCGCGTGCAAAAGGCTTCCCCCATGCTAGCATGCACAAGGTACAAAGCCTCATATAGCTTCCTTCGATTCCAAGGCAAAAAGCTCCCTTTTGGCATCCTTCGATTTGCACTTTTTTGCCTCTTGTATGCCTCTTTCGAATCTGGACATTTTTTCCTCCTGCATTCCTCTTTCGTTTAGGCATATGGCTCCCTTCACGCAATTCTTCGTTCGAGCATTGACCTTTTGTGTGCTTGCTTGGAGTCACAAAGTTTAGACCTCCTACATGCAGGCTTCGACAGGACATTGACTATATTTGTACTAGCTTCGACTGGACAACATTTCTCTTTAATATGTTGCATTTCCATCACTGACAAACTTCAGCACACATGGTTGATGGCCCCTTCAAAAGACATATAGTGGTGGATTAGAAGGGCATACATATGAGTCCCTGTCAAAGGGTATACCTTACTAGTCCATTCGAAGGACACATTTGGCCTTTTTCAAAGAAGCATACATAATCCATTCAAGGGACACGTCTGGACACCCCATTTGAAGGACATGCTTGATGGCCCATTCGAAGGATTTACAAAGCTCACCTTAAGGCATGTTTTGATGACCCATCCAAGGGTCACACATTTGGCTCCTTTGAAGGATGCACAAAAGTGACCCATTCGAAGAACACTTGTTGGAGGAAAATCAAATAACATTGTTGGAAGAGGAATCCGGTCGAAGGAGGGTCAAAACGAAAGAATGAAAATGTTCAAAGATGCTTGTTGCCAAGTTCAGGTCTAGTACACTGGCCAAAACTGCTGCACAGTAGTCCTGAAACACTGCCCCATTCTTGCACCAAAATAGCATACAAAGCACTGCCCCTCGAAAGCTACAAAAGCATGTTACTCAAATTGTTCAAACTTTTTGTTTTCCCTCCAAAAGCTTCATCCAGCTTTGCCTATAAATAAGATGCTCCACAACATATTTTAGGGGGACCTTTGGCCAGAGGAACAAATCTTCAAAAAAATTCTCAAACATCATCAAACTCTCAAACACTTAAACACTCATCAAACACAAATCCAGAATCCAAACATTTTCCCCTTCAAATCTGAAATATCCCCACACCTTGTTACCCTTCGAATCTAGTAGGAAGAACCTCACACTTGTTCTTCTCTTTCGAATCCAGTATCAAAGGCATAACCCCTGGTTCCTCCCTTCGAATCCAGAAGCATTCAAGGAAACCACTTAAAGGCTCAGCACTCGTCCCAGCCTCAAGCAAGGTAAGTCATTCTTAACCTTGGATCCTTCGTTTCTAGCATAATATGTAAATAAGCTTCCTTTTCGTTTCAAACATGTACATAGTATTTGTTTCCTTTTCGTTACCACCCTTTTATTTTGTTTTTATTGCCTCTCCTTTGGTTTTGTTCTTTGGTTTGTTACAAATGCTTTAAGAACTAACATGGCCCTAAGGTAATGCTAGCATGCCCTTAGACCATGTTGCTATTTAATATCTCAAACGAAAGAAACA